GAAGGAGGCTCGAGCGTCCGCGGTGTTGCCCTTTTGTAAGCGTCGGCGGGCTGTGCGTCTGTAGTCTTGGAGTTTGCATCGGTCATCTTTGAAGACTTCAGATTGAGCGAAGCGCGCGATCATGCGTAGCGCAGCATTCCAACTGCGGGACTCCTTGCTGGCCTCGACCACCATGATGGTGTCGGGGTGCCATGTATCTCCCTGGTAGAATTAATTCTGTAGTAGTCAGCTTCCCCGGGGCATGTGCTCTGATGAGTCTCATAGCAGCGGTCGAGCATGCGTTCTTGGACGGCGTGGTGTCAGACGCGCGGCAGATTTGTCGTGCTGCGCTGCGACGCAGGGGCCGCGCTCTCAGGGTGGTCGCAAGCGTCGGCGTCCCAGTCTGAGGCGTTCGCCTCCTCCAGTCGAACGCCGATTCTTTTTAGCAAGTTCAGGTCTCTGAGCTCGGCGACCCCGCGCAAGGGCCCGTGATGCATCTCAGCTGCGACGCGCATCTTGCCTTCGACGTCGATTGGCGCGCTGGTGCATCTGCTTGGGAACAACTACATAGTCGATGATGATGGGGATGATGCTGAGGATGATTATGCTGACGATGATGCTGCTACTGATGATGATTAGGATGGGGACAAGTGATGGCGAGGAGGAGGAATATTTTTGTTCAGCAGTTTCATTTCTCACATGGCGAGTTTCCGCCGCGCCTCGTCGCCCGAGCCCCCCCTCTGCAGCACCTCGGGCGGGCGCCCGCACTCCAGCGACCTGTCCGCGCGCAGGCACTTCTGTTTCTCACGCTTCTCACAATCTGCGCTCCTCTCCTCCAGCTTCGCACGCGCGGCGCGCCCTGGCGCTTTTGCCCGAAGCCTTCGCCCTCGTGGCCCTCAGGAGCAGCATGTTGTCGAAATCTGCTCTGAGGGGCCACGTGGGCCTCCTGTTCGACCCTGTGATGGTGAACGTGCCGCTGTTCTTACCATCTGGGTGGAGATATCTTTGATGTCGCCTCTCCACCTTCCTCTGGTCAGCCTTCGGGAATGGCCCCCGCTTTCCACGTGCGCCCTCCGCTTCCCATTGGATTCCCGCGCTGTAGCTGATGGCATCGGGCTCTACCGCTTCGCCGCCTTCTAGCCACGCCCTGGCGATTTGGGCGCGTGCTCTCCAGATCTCCATGCTGGCGATGCAGCTGCCCGCGCGCTCCGTTTTCTCGGATCCATCCGTGGCGACAAGGTGGGGCGAGGATGAGATAGGGATATAGGGCTCTAGCTTCGCCCCCGCCGCCCCCTTCCACTTCTCGCACTTTCGCCTTCCCATTCTCGCACGCCCTGGTCCCAGCGCTGTAGCTGACGGTGTCGGGCTCTATCTTCGCCTTCCACCCCTCGCGCGCGCTGTTCCCAGTGCTGCGGCTACTAATATATGGCTCTATCTCCGCCTTCCACTTATCGCACTTTCCACTTGGCTCTGGCTTCCCTCTCTCGCATGCCCTGATAACAGCGCTGTAGCAGATGGTGTCGGGCTCCACCCTCGCCTTCCACTTCTCGCACGCGCCGTCGGGCTCCAGCTACGCCTTTCCCGTCTCACTTGCCCTGATCTCAGCGCTGTAGCTTGCGGCGTCGGGCTCGTGCGTCGCCTTCCACTTCTCGCGCGCACTGATCCGAGTGTAGGGGCTAGCGATGTCGGGCTCCAGCTTCGCCTCTCCCCTCTCGCGCGCCGTCCACTTCTCGCAGGTTTCGCTCGGCTCCGGCTTCCCTTTCTCGCGTGCCCTGATAACAGCGCTGTGGCCGATGGTGTCGGGCTTTATCTTCGCCTTCCACTTCTCGCACGCGCTGCCCCCGTTGCTGGGGCTCGCGCTGTCGGGCTCCAGCTTCGCTTCTCCCCTCACATGCGCCTTCCACTCCTCGCACGTTTCGCGAGGCTCTGGCTTCCCCTTCTCGCATGCCCAGACAGCAGAGCTGCAGCAGATGGTGTCGGGCTCTATCTTCGCCTTCCACTTCTCGCACGCGCTGACCCCTTTGCTGCGGCTAGCGAGGCAGGGCTCTACCTTCGCCTGTCCCTTCTCGCACGCTCTGGCTCCAGCGTTGTAGCTGATGGTGTCGGGCACAATCTTCACATTCCATTCCTCGCACGCGCTGTCCCCAGTGCTGTGACTAGCGATGTCGGGCTCTAGCTTCGCCTTCCCATTCTCGCACGCCTTGCCCCCAGCGCTGTAGCCGAAGGTGGCGGGTTCGATCTCCGCCTCCCGCTTCTCGCGCTCCTGCCACTGCCCGCCTGTGCTGGGCTGCCACTGCCGCTCCTCGTAGGCCCCCGCCCACGGGAGGCCCCGCCAGGGCCGAGGCTGGCGGAACTGGACCGCCCAGCCGTCCACCTCGGCCTGGCGGCAGGTGGCCAGGCGGAACCGTCGATGTGCGCGGCGGCGGCTGCTTCTCACGGCCAGGAGGGGCCTCCCTCCGTCGATGAGCCCACACCACGTCGCAGCATGCAGCATCCTGACCGCCCCTCTCCAGCGCTGGGGGCTCCCCGATCGCGGGCCGGTCGCCGCGCGCCGCCGCGGTGAAGACGGCTGCGGGGCCTCGCCGAGGAGCGACCTGGAAGGAGGAGGAGGAGGAGGAGGAGGAGGAGGAGTCCAGAAGTCCAGAAGCCCCACACACAATATCCGATGGGGGGCAGGGAGGAGATTAGGGGCGGCGGTGGCGCACTCTTGCTGGGAGCACTCTTGCGGGGCGCCCTGCGCGCCTGCGTCCCACAGGGCAGAAGAGCACTGGACCCCTCCAAGTGGTGGTCATCCCACCAGCCCTCTGGGCGTCGGTGGTTTAGGGAGTGTTATTTTTCCAAGGGTTTCGTGAGGTGTCGGAGCGTCCAAAACGGCCTCGCCGAGGAAACCAAAATCATGGGTTTTACTACGGCGTTGGCCCCATTTTGGCCTCCTGAGGGGGGGGGCCCTAATTAATGCCCCCCCATCGGTCGAACCCAAAATGGCCCAAAGATGGCCCCCAAGGCCCCCAAAGAGTGCCCCAAGAGGACCCCAAGAGGTGGCCAGGAAGCCCCAAGAGGCCCCCAGGATGCCCCCAAGAGGCCCCAAGAGACCCCCCGGAGGCACCCAAGGCGCTCCGAGAGGCCTCGGCGAGAATGCCAAATCACTGATTCTAGTAAGGTTTTAGACACATGTTGGCCTCTTGGGGGGGCACTGATTAAGATGCCTCCAAGAGCGTCTGGGAGAGCCCAAGATGACCTCCAAGATGGCTCAAGATATCCCAAGATGTCTCATAATGGCTCCCACGATGCTCCAAGATGCCCCAAGACCGCTCCAAGACGGCTCCCAGTGGCCAAAAAAGCTCCCCCAGGAGGCCCCGAAGAGGCCAACACCTGGGGTAATTCTATGTGTTTGGCTTTCTCGCCTTTTTCGTTTCCGATGGCCATCCGAGGCCTCCAGATGGCCCAAGAGGGCTCCAACAAATGCTCCTGAAGGCCCCAAGGAGGCCCCAAGAGCGCCTAAGAGCGTTCCAAGAGCGCCCCAAGAGCGCCCCAAGAGGCGATTGCTTGAACTCCCGAGGGGCAACGCTAACCAATGCTCGTTTCTTGTCTGATCGATGTCCCCCAAGATGGCCCCAAGAGCGCTCCCAAGGCTCCCAAGAGCGCTTCACGAGGGCCCCAAGAGGCGCCCAGGAGGCCCCAACAGGCGCCCAGGAGGCCTCCAAGATGCTCCCAAGAGGCCCCTAAGAGGCCTCAAGAAGCTCTCCGAGGCACCCAAAACGCTCCAAGAGGCCTCCACTGGGGGGCCCTTCCTCTGTGTGCTGCCCACTTCCCTGATCGAGACAATTCCTCTGGGCATCGCTTCTGGATGGGCTGGTGGGGTTACTTTTTTGGTCGGCGGCTCCGAGGCAACGGACAGGGAGCGGAAGCGGCGTCCAGGACACGGTACGTGGCTAATTCGCAAAGAATGCGTGGTGTGCACACGCACTGAGCAAAATGCTCCGCCTTAAGGCGAACGCACCTAGGCGCCAGCCACACCGAAGTGAAGCAGACCGTAGTGCAGTGCAACAGAGAAGTCGCCCTGTCGGCGAAGCGTCTAGAATTTCTTTCTGCCCGCTTGTAAAAAGAGGAGTAGCAGATTAGTCGCAGTGTCGTCCCCGCCGTCACGTGGTCCTCCCACCCCCACAAAAGGGGCCGCTGAGGGACTTAGCTACTGTACCCCTCCCCCTGGGGGGTCGCCTCTGTCCCACATGCTTTACTCTTACAGCTAACCTAGCGGATCAGCGCCAGCCACGTCAGAGTCAGGAGGAGTAGCAGCAGCCGTAGAAGTAGGAGGGGGGCCCTATCGGACCTGTCGACCTTTTCCCCGAGGTTGGCGTTTCATCCCGAATCGCTGTTTGACAGCTACTGGGCCCTTGACGGGGACTCTCAAACCAGGGAAAGACCGCCCGACGTTATCTCGTGATCTCATCACGGCGCCTAGGATCCATGGAGCCTGGGGAGGAGCACGAGGAGAGGAGTAGGCCACTACACGTGAACAACACACGTGCAGGCCAAACTTACGAAACACCTGTGGGGGTGCATAACCGAAACGACGGCTGCAGCCAAGTGAACCCCTGAGGTTGAGTCCTTTGCGCGAGCGTCGACTGCACGGGCAGGGGTGGGTTCGGAAGCTGGTCGCAGACGCAGGCCCGCGGCCGGGGAGTCTCAACTGGATGGGCCACGAGAAAATCGGTCGAGAAAGGGGGAAGAGGAAATCCGGTCAAATTGGTCCCTGGACCCCTCTAAGGTTCCATCTGCCGCAATTCTTCACCACAAATCCTTGTTTGGCGGTCCCGGGACCCCAAACGGCCCCCCGAGGCCGAAAAGGACAAAAAGCCTTCCCGAATCCAGCGCCTCGAAACTGCTCGCCCTTCCTGCTGTCTGGACAACCAGTGCTGGGCCATCTCAGACCCCCAGCTGACTCCAGAGTCCGTTACGCCAGCATCGACTGGACGGGCAGGGGTGTGGTCGGCAGCTGGTCGCAGAAACAGACCCGCGACCTTCTTGCCGAGCCTCACGAAGCGGGCCGTGACGCCGTCGTCCACGCCGGAGTGGACGGCAGACAGTCTCCGCGCCGGCGTTGCCGGCGGCATGCTGCCAATCTCCGACACACCTCCTGGGCGCCGTCCGACGACGACGACGACGCCTTTCCGCCCCGATGCACAGCACGCAACCCGCAGCGTGTTGACTCGGAGCTGAACACATAGACTGCAGGCGTAAATCTGGCGCGGTACGGACGCCGAAAAGTAGCCCGACACGTGCCGGGCAAACACGCGGCGTGTCGACGCGGACGTTGTTTGAGCACGGGACGTGCTGCATGTCAAGGCGGGCGTATCGGGGCAGCTAAGGGACGACGGCATCGTCGACATCGTCGTGTCGGTCGATCGTTCGAGGGTCGAGACTGCTCAAGAACACGCGGACCTTGGTTCGACTCCGGAGGCCTCTGGAGGCATCCAGAGGCCTCCAAGGAGGCCTCCAGAAGCCGCTCAGGCTGAATGACCAGAAATCAAACGGCATCACGAAACTGACTCTGTTCTATAAACTCTGGTCATGCAATGTGTGTCGGTCTCTGCAGAGAGAGAGCTCGATTTGGAAAGGAATCACTTTGAGATCACTTGACCAGACGTATGGGCGTGAACAGCCCTCCGTTAGTCTAGCAATTGGACAGTTCCAATTCTGCGACCGCACATCACGACAAAACCTGTTGCGAGAACCACATGTTCAAATACTGCAGTCCTCCATCCGAGTAGCCGTTAGACAAGATCCACACAATGAAATATGTGCCGCCCTCCACACGTCCAGCTGGTGGAAGACGTGAGTACAGTTGTTCACGTCGCGACGGCGAGAACCCTCCATCCGAATTGCTGCTAAAAACATGGACAATAAATGAGCGCAGCGCTAAGACGATAATCCGCCGGTCCCCTTGCGTGGCCACCAGGCTGCGAAAATTAGGCTTGCAACTCCCTGTCCCAGTTGCAGTTTGCAGTTTCCAGTTTCCACTGTACTGTTAGTCCTGCGCTCTGTTTCCTCACTGTTAATTGTTGCTGAACGCGCGAGGGGGGGGGAGCCGAAAAGCGTCCTGGTTAGCGTTGCCTGAATTTCTGGGGGGGTGTGGGACATGTAGAAATACTTGAGATTCGCTCCCCCCAAGGCCATAATCCCTAGTACATGTCCCCATATTCGCGTCCCCGAAACCACAATCCCTCGTAAACTACGCGATGCTCGCGTTCCCGAAGCCATAAACCATAAGAAATGATACGCGCCCCCGAAACCATTAGCCCACGTAATTACGGAGTATTCGCGCCCCCGAAGACATACACCTTCAAAAACATGATCAACCCACGAACCCGGAAAGGAATATAGAAATGTAACGCATGGCAGCGTTTTCAAAGACACCTGATTGGGTGACGGGGAAGTGCAATGCGGAGTGTACCGATCTTGATGCACCGTGCCGAGGGGTGTGCTGCGCTGCGCCGTGCTGAATTGCGATGTGACGTGCCGCAACTGTGCTCTATAGCGTTGTGGATCGAGTCTTCCTTTGCATCCGAGTCCTGACCGAACTGATCTGGATCTTATGCTCGAGCTGCCTGAACACAATGTAGCTGCCCCAGAGCTAATTGACAAGGGGACATGCCAGGAGGACGCGCCGCTAAACGTCCCAAGGGACGCGCCAGGCGACGTGCCAAGGGACGTGCCATGGGGACGCACCGCGGGACGTGCCAAGGGGACGCGCTACGGAACGTGCCAATGGATGTGCCACGGGATGTGCCAAGAGGACGCGCCACGCGACGTGCCAGGGGGACTCGCCAAGGGACGCCCCACGGAACGTGCCAAAGAACGTGCCAAATTGCAATGCTGAATGTATCGATCTTGATGTACCGTGCCGAAGTCTGTGCTGTGCTGCGCCGTGCTGAATTGCGATGTGCCATGCCGCGATTGTGCTCTACAGCGTTGAAGACCGAGTCCTCCTTTGCATCCGAGTCCTGACCGAACTGATCTGGATCTTAAGCTCGAGCTGCCTGAACACAGAGCAGCTGCCCCAGAGCTAATTCACACGGGGAAATGCCAGGACGACGCGCCGCGGAACGTCTCAAGGGACGCGCCAAGCGACGTGCCAGGGGACGTGCCATGGGGACGCACCGCGGGACGTGCCAAGGGGACGCGCTACGGAACGTGATCGGGACAAGCGTTTCGCTCGAGACGTCCTGTCAAAATCCTCATGCTAGACATCCGCCTGAGCGACCTGGACACGTGAAAACAAGCGTTTCGCTCAACACATCCTCAACACATTCTCATGCTAGACATCCGCCTGGGCGAACTGGACACGTGAAAACAAGTGGTTCGCTCGAGACATCCTCAACACATCTTCATGTGAGACGTCCGCCTGGGTGACCAGGGCACGTGGAAACAAGCTTTTCGCTCGGGACGTGTTCAACACCTCCTCATTCTAGACATCCGCCTGGGCGACCTGTAAACGTGAAAGCAAACGTCTCGCTCGAGACATCCTCACCACATCTTCATGTTAAACATCCGCCTGGGCGACCTGGACACGTGAAAACAAGCGTATCTCTCAAGACATTCTCAACGCATCCTCATGCCAGGCATCCGCCTGGGCAACATGGACACGTGCAAACAAGCATCTCGATCGAGACTTCGTCAACACCTCCTCATTCTAGACATCCGCCTGGGCGACGAGGACGCGTGAAACCAAGCGTCTCGCTCGAGACATCCTCAACAAATCCTGGCGCTAGACCTCTGCCTGGGCAACCTGGAGGCGTGAAACCAAGCGTCTCGCTCGAGACATCCTCAAGACCTGGGCACGTGAAAACAAACATTTCACTTCAGAGATCCTCTGAATTCTGGTCCCCAAGAGAGGACAATCTATAACACAAAACAAGCGTTTCGCTCGAGACATCCTCAACCCATTCTGAACAACAAGCGTTTCGCTCGAGACATCCTCAAAACAAACTCCGCTGGCCTCCTTCAAACTCGTCATTTACCGCACAATAATCCCGACGGCCTCCTTCAAGTCGAGACCGGGGGTAATAGTACTAAGAGAACCCTGGGCCTATGCCCTTTCCGGGAATTGCACAATATCCGCGTCCCCAGGGCCATAAACCCAAGTAAATTACACCATACTTGCGTCCCCGAGGCCATACACCCTCGCAAATTACACCAGATTCGCGTCCCCGAGGCCATACATACTCGTACAGTACACCATATGTGCGCCCCCGAGGTCATACACCCTCGTAAATTATGCAATGGTTGCGTCCCCGAGGCCACAAACCTTTCTAACTTATTCGATACTCGCGTCCCCGAAGCCGTGAACCATTGTAAATTACCTGATATTCGCGCCACCGACGCCATAAACCCTCGTAAAAGAATATTGGCCCTCGCGTGGAGTCCCGACATTGCTTCACGTCAGCGTGCAGACATCCCAACACAGCTCTGGCAAGGCCCATTCTCAGAGAGGGGGGCTGGCGGCACGGGGGCGAAGCCCTTACGGATAACATTTTGAGCATCCACCACCCTTAAACCCGCGTAGCTGTTGGAAGACACATTTTGGCACCCAGCCGGCTCCATGGGTGCAGCTGCTGGAGATCACAAGCTTCAGGACGCTGTGAGAAGGCATCAAGCGAAACGCACGGACCGAGCGGCGCGCAGGAATTGCGTGCTTATCCGCACCATGCCCCCTGGCACGTTCAGGCGTGGTACAGTCGGACCTAGACCAGAAGAACATCCCCCAAGAGCATGAGACCCTCCGTCGGCCAGAACAAACAGAACATCCAAGGGTACCCTCCCCAGGATGCACAAGAACACCCAAGAAACACGAAGAACATTAGGGCACCCTCCCCGAACCGACCTCGATGTGCATACCTCAGTCCGACTGTATCCCAGGGGCCCCGCCCTGGAGGGCTTCTCCGAAGGGCTTAGGCGACCCGTCCTTCTCCTCCTCCTCCTCCTCCTCCTCCTCCTCCTCCTCCTTCTCCTCCTCGTCCTCCTCGTCCTCCTCGTCCTCCTCCTCCCTCCTCCTCCATCTCCTCCTCCCCCTACACCTCCTCCCCCTCCTCCTCCACCTCCTCCTCCTCCTCCTCCTCCTCCTCCTCCTCATCCTCCTCGTCCTCCTCGGGTCGCCTACGGCCCCGGGGGAAACCGTGCACCCCACCCCTCCCGAGGCCTGCACCAGCCCGCTCCTCTTCCCGAGGCTGCCCGGGCTGCCCGACGCCTCGCTGGGGGCTGCCCAGTGCTCCCTGGACGGCCCAGGGAGGCCACCAAGACAACCCAACACTGCCTCCAGAGGCACCCCAGCGCCCTCGATCCCAGGACGGCCCATGAAAGCCACCAAGACAACCCAACCTTCTATTCAGAGGCACCCCAGAGCCCTCGACCATACCCCAAGGGGCGCCAAATGGGCCGCAAGAGGCGTCCTAAGCATCAGATGCCAAATGCCAGCGCCACTGAACACCCAACTACGGCAAGTTCGCGGCGTGACGACCCTGGCGTGGGCTTCTGACACCGTGTGGATCCTTCAACCTTGAACGATCGGCGGCTTTCCCATCGCCCGATCGTTCCGTGCAGGCCGATCCTGGGCCACCGGCGGCGTTTAGCCTTGAGCGCCCGCGGCGGGGTCGCCGCCGGTCGACACGACGCGAACCCGCCGCAAGACCCTTTGGCTGTGAAACGCTGGCAGTCTCCTGGGCCTCGCTCGGACGTCCATTCCCTGTGCTTTTTTCGGTTTCGTGCGTGGTTTTTTCGCCAAATGATCAAGGATGCTCCTCGATGGTCCTCGCCGAAGGAACAATGCACACGTCCGAGCGATGCCAGGTCTCCTGGGCCTCTGGGCTCAAGATGGCTCCAAGAGGGCTCCGAAGGAGGCCCAAGGCGAGCCAACACAGCCTGGGCCCCAAAAGACGGCCCAAGAGGGGCCCAGGACAGCTCAGGGGAGGGCCCCGGTGTCCAACCAGGAGGGGCCCGAAGACAATCGCAGAGACTGCCCCGACGGCCGAAGGGGAAGCCAATGCGGCCCACGACTGCACCCAAGACGATCGGACGGCCCCAGGGTACCTCGAGTTGTCCAAGAGGGTCCCAAGATCGGCGGTGGACAAACCTCCCTTTAGTAAATCTCCCCTTAGTGAAAACGGCCTGGGACCGAAACCGACGAACCTGGACCCGCAAAAATGACGGCCGCGACGCCTTCTCGCGGACCGAAAACGGCCAATTCACGAATCGACGTGTCGGGGTAGGAGGTAGGAGGTCGATCCACCTCCGACAAGAAGGACCCAAGACGGCCCCACAAGAGCCCAGGGCTTCCCCAAGCCGGCCCTGGTGCTCGAAGCGTCGCCGCAGAGACTGATGCGCCGGCGCGGCGGCGGAACTCGCGAGGGGCAGCTGGAGCAGGGGGAGGGGGACCAAGGAGGGGGACCCGGCAGGGGTACTCCAGCTATTCCTAAGCCGGGCATGTCCTCCTACAGGCGGATTTCGGGCGGGAATAACGGTGCCCCCGAAGTCCTCAGAACCAGTCCGCGAGTAAGCGAAAAATCGTCCCCTGACTATCCTCTGGCTATCCTTGCGTATTCCTCCAGAGGGGCACGCCCGACTTAAGACTGTGCTTCTCCCACTCTTGGGCCGCGGCCGCGGTCGCGAGGACGCGGGCGCCCCAGGAGGCCGACACAGCAAGGCAAGCTCCAAGCCTCGGCCCTCGAACGAATCCTAACCACGCCAGGGGAACCCCCTCAAGAGGCTATTTGTGTTCACTGTTATTGGCTACTCCTCCAGCAGAGGGACACGCCCGACTCTGACAGGGGATATGTCGACCCCTATCCCAGGCTTCGTGGGGTTTCCGAATGGACCAGAAATTTGGGGCCCAACCCTGGGACATACGATGGGGGGTGTCCATCCTCGATAGGGGTGCGTCCGAATAGCCCCCTTGGGGTGTTTCCCAGGGGTTTCCCAATTTTCTGAGCGGCCAAACTTTTCGGGCGAAACTCGGAGATTGGGGGAGCAGCATCCCCCGCGAGACAGAGATTCAACCGTTGGCCATCAAAAACATCCAACGTCGTGCCTTTGTCTCACGGAGCGGCTCCAAGGGACGGGGGCGGGCTGCTCGTCCAGAATCCCTCGCAGGCGGCCACGGCCGGGGCCCAGCGACGGCCCTCGGAGGCAGAACGAGGGTGCTGCCCCCGCCCCCCCCCCTGCCGGGCTTCGGAGGGGCAGCGAGGAGGGGCGAGGGAGGACCCGCTCACGGGGGCGATGGACCGCTGATCGACTCGCAAGGGGTCCCCGGCAGCGAAGCCGCACCCTCCTGGGCCGGGGTGGACCATCAGGCCCCCGTCGGATGGGCGATCGGGGGCCGCTGCTTCTCGCCCTGAGCTTGATGATTGGCCCCCTCTGACGTTGCCTCCTGGTCTTCAGGAGATGCCTCGGCGTTCCAGCGGCCCTTCGGGACGAGCCAGGCACCCCGTGGAGCGCCCTCGGCACGATCCGAGCACCCCTGGAACGCATCCCGAGGCGAGGCGCAGCCGCTGGAAAAGGCATCCCGAGGCTGGAAAGCTGACGAACGCCGATAAGCCTAGAGCTTCCGGGACTGGCGGGGATTTCCTGGTTGCGTGGTAGCCGACCTCAAACCCCAGAAGCACGACTGTCCATGTCGGGCATCAACTGACAACTCTCAGTCGGGCATGTGTGTGTTCATGATGGACCACGTTTGCATGTCAAAGTAAAAGAGCGGCGCTGGGAAGGGGCATGCCACTCCTTGACAAAAACCTTGCTCCGATTTGTGGCCGCCGCGATTGCCGCGGCGAACTCAAAAACCGACCTGGAGGTTTGGTTCGGGGCCGGGTATCACGCAACGATCTCCAGCCTCTGGGATAACCAAACATGATCGACCCACGAACCAGGAAAGGAATATAGAACTGTAAGACATGGCAACGTGTCAAAGACACCTGATTGGGCGACGGGCAAATGCAATGATGAGTGTATCGATCTTGATGTACCATGCCGAGAGCTGTGCTGTGCTGCGCCGTGCTGAATTGCGATGTGCCATGTCGCGATTCTGCTCTATAGCGTTGTGGATCGAGTCCTCCTTTGCATCCGAGTCCTGACCGAACTGATCTGGGTCGTAAGCTCGAGCTGCCTGAGCACAGCACATAATAGCTGCCCTAGAGCTGATTAGCAAGGAGACATGCTAGGAGGACGCGCCGCGGAACGTCCCAAGGGACGCGCCAGGCGACGTGCCAAGGGACGTGTCATAGGGACGCACCGCGGGACGTGCCAAAGGGAAGCGCTACGGAACGTACCAATGGACGTGCCACGGGACGTGCCAAGGGACGCGCCGCGCGACGTGCCAAGGGGACTCGCCACGGGACGTGCAAGGGAACATGACAGGTTGCAATGCTGAGTGTATCGATCTTGATGTATCGTGCCGAGAGCTGTGCTGTGCTGCGCCGTGCTGAATTGCGATGTGCCATGTCGCGATTCTGCTCTATAGCGTTGTGGATCGAGTCCTCCTTTGCATCCGAGTCCTGAACGAACTGATCTGGATCTTAAGCTCGAGCTGCCTGAACACAGCACACAATAGCTGCCCTAGAGCTGATTCGCAAGGAGACATGCTAGGAGGACGCGCCGCGGAACGTCCCAAGGGACGCGCCAGGCGACTTGCCAGGGGACGTGCCATGGGAACGCACTGCGGGACGTGCCAAGGGGCAGCGCTACGGAACGTGCCAATGGACGTGCCACGGGACGTGCCAGGGGACGCACCGCGCGACGTGCCAGGGGGACTCGCCACGGGACGCGCCACGGAACGTGCCAGGGAACATGACAGGTTGCAATGCTGAGTGTATCGATCCGTGCCGAGGGCTGTGCTGTGCTGCGCCGTGCTGAACTGCTATGTGCCATGCTCGAGACATCCTGTATGTTTTGGCGCGGGGGGCGCACCATCCTCGAGCGGGCACGCAAAAACTCAACGCTGTCACGCTAAATCCTAGAAAAACAAGCGAATTCGTTGAGACATCCTCGAAATTCCTGCGCGCGGGACGCAGCACGCGCGAGACATTCTCGGAATTCCTGTGCGCGGTGCGCTCTGGTCCCCAGGAGAGGACAATATATAACACAAAACCAGCGTTTTTTCGCTCGAGACATTCTCAACACATTCTGAAAAACCAGCGTTTCGCTCGAGACATCCTCAACAATAATTCCGCCAGCCCTCTTCGACCTCGTTAGTTATCGCAAATAATTCCGCCGGCCCTCTTCAAGTCAAAACCGGGGTAAACAAACTAAAAGAGAACCCTGGGACAGAGCCCTTTCCGGGAAAAGTACCGATACCGCTACCTCCCCTGACCTCTTCCCGGAGGCGTCCTGACCAGAACTTCGAGGCGAATCCAGTGGCGGCGACGAGTGCAGCCTAGGAGACCCAAGAGGGGGAAAACGGAGGCACGGTAGCAGCATGGGTACCTTTTTGTTCCTTGGAACCTCAGGACCCGCGGGGCGGCCCGTGGACGACGCAACGGCGGACGGCGCAGCGCAGGAGCCTGGCGACGCCTCGCCCGAGGCCGTCGCCTCCACCGCCGGCTGCTGCGCGTCGGCGCCCACGATGAGCGAGGAGCGCCGCCGCCCCTGCCGCGCCGCCCCCGCCGCCGGCTTCCTCGGTACACCGGCGACGGCCCGGGCGGGCTGCGCCGACAGCGGCGTCGTCGCCGGCGCTGCCGACGGCGGCAACCACGGCGTCGGCGGCGGCGGCAGCGACGGCGGGGGCGGCGGCAGCGGCGACGGCTGCGGCGACTGCGACGCGGAGGCGGTCGCGTCCACCACGGGCTCCCTTTTCGGGGGGAGGCAAGATAGGCCAGCACCGAAGCCATAGATCGGATCAGACCAGAGTTTGCATCGGATTGGGCTGCATCGGCACGAGATCTCGTAATCGGATTGGCCGCCCCAAGAACCACGACAGCGGTATGAAAGCATCGGATCGCATCGGACCGCCGACCATCGGAATCTAATCAGATCGAACCAATCGGGGTCGATATCGAGTCATTACAGGGGCACAGGGACACAAACAGAAATATCAGCAAATCCAGAGATTCCCCATCATGTTCTATATTTTCTGGATGTCCGTCTTCCCCTTCGCTTCCTATACTCTGCCATCGTTTCCTGGGGATCGACGCTTCGTTGTGTCAGTGTGTGTATTTCCCCTTTCCGTCTCAGTGGCTCTCCTTCTTCTTCCCACAGCCCTGAGGGACCAACGTCTGAGGTGTCCACGCATGCAAACGTCAGCGGTGAGATAGGCGGCAAGTATAGCGGGGGACGAGGAGAGCAGCAACGTGCACGAGAGACGCAGCCGAATCTCGCCCGCAAGACCTGGCAACACTGCACTCGCCCGAAGGAGCGAGTATAGTGGCTCTCCTCCTCCTCCTCCTCCTCCGGTCCTACGCGCGACCGCGCCAATCCTTTCCCCCCCCCCTTGCACGCCGGCCAAATTCGCCATTCCGCTGCCCCGCATCGCCACCCGCTGGAGCAGCTCCTCTGCCTCCTCGCCGACGAAAAAGTTCCCCCCCCCTCCTGAATCGGATCGACATGGGGGCGAAGGATCGTTGGTCGAGGTTGGGGGCTGGCGCCGCGCTGGCCAGTGGAGGTCGTGGTGCAGTTTTGCGGGGGCCCACGGACACACACACACACACACACACAGAGAATTCCCAGGATTCCCTATGTTTCTCACATGTTTTTGTTCCAAGGTCAAGCTAGGCCGAAAACCTGTGCAGACGAATCAATTCAAAAGCGTGCATACGATGGCTAGCAGACACTAGGTCTGAGCGAGCGCCACTTCGTCAAGCGACACCTTTGTGCGCAGCCTTTTCGTAGGCCGGATGGTCTCCCATGCTACCGCGTTGGGCGGAGGGGAGACATCTCCAACATAGGAAAAACCGGTTTCACGCGATGACGCGTGCGGGGGTACAGTCGACAACACGGCCCTCTTCTTTACAGGCTGGGTCGAGCGAGGCTGTGTTAAGCGCCTCGTTTTTGGGCTTCGCCTCTCAACAGACGGTCGGCACGATTAGCTGCGTCAATCTCGGCCCGAGGTAATGGAGCAACCAGGCCTGCCTTGAAACATGATCGACCCACGAACCCGGAAAGGAATATAGAACTGTAACACATGGCAGCGTTTTCAAAGACACCTGATTGGGTGACGGGCAAATGCAATGCTGAATGTATCGATCTCGATGTACCCTGCCGAGGGCTGTGCTGTGCTGCACCGTGCTGAATTGCGATGTGCCATGCCGCGAATGTGCTCTATAGCCTCGTGGATCGAGTCCTCCTTTGCATCCGAGTCCTGACCGAACTGATCTCGATCTTAAGCTCGAGCTGCCTGAACACATAGTAGCTGCCCCAGAGCTGATGGACAGGGGAGCATGTCAGGAGGACGCGCCGCGAAACGTCCCAAGGGATGCGCCAGGCGACGTGCCAGGGGACATGCCATGGGGTCGCACCGCGGGACGTGCCAAAGGGACGCGCTACGGAACGTGCCAATGGATGTGCCACGGGATGTGCCAGGGGACGCGCCACGCGACATGCCAGGGAGACTCGCCAAGGGACGCGCCACGGAACGTGCCACGGAACGTGCCAAGTTGCAATGCTGAGTGTATCGATCTTGATGTACCGTGCCGAAATCTGTGCTGTGCTGCGCCGTGCTGAATTGCGATGTGCCATGCCGCGATTGTGCTCTATAGCCTCGTGGATCGAGTCCTCCTTTGCATCCGAGTCCTGACCGAACTGATCTGGATCTTAAGCTCGAGCTGCCTGAACACATAGTAGCTGCCCCAGAGCTAATGGACAGGGGGGCATGCCAGGAGGACGCGACGCGGAACGTCTCAAGGGACCCGCCAAGCGACGTGCCAAGGGACGTGCCATGGGGACGCACCGCGGGACGTGCCAAGGGGACGCGCTACGGAACGTGCTGGGGACAAGCGTTTCGCTCGAGACATCCTGCCAACATCCTCAGAATTCCTGCGCGCGGGACGCGGCACGCGCGAGACATCCTCGGAATTCTTGCGAGCGGGACGTGAAAACAAGCATTTCGCCTGAGACACCCTCTGAATTCTGGACCCCCACGAGGCCCCCCACGAGGCCCCTGCTCGAGACATCCCCCAACTTTGCAAAACCAGCGTTTCGCTCGAAACGTCTTCAACAAATTATGAAAGACAAGCATTTCGCTCGAGACATCCTGCCAAAATTCAAGGAAATCCTAGCAAAACAAACGAATTAGTCGAGACATCCTCGAAATTCCTGCGCGCGGGACGCGGCACGCGCGAGACATCATCGGAATTCCTGCGCGCGGGGCGCTTTTCCGTGTCGCGGTCGGCTCTGCAAAACCAGCGTTTCGCTCGAGACATCCTCAACAAATTCTGAAAACAAGCGTTTCGCTCGAGACATCCCCAACTCTGCAAAACCAGCGTTTCGCTCGAGACATCCTCAACAAATTCTGAAAAACAAGCGTTTCGCTAGGGACATCCTCAATTTTTAATTCGCCGGCCCTCTTCCCACTCGTTATTTATCGCAAAAGAAATTCGCCGGCCCTCTTCCCGTCAAACCCGGGGGGAAACCATCTAAAAGAGAACCCTGGGCTCAAGCCCTTTCCGGGAAAAATCGCTACACAACGTCTTACGCCTGCCGCGCCTCCGGGTCTCGATCGCATGAGCCAGCAGGCGAGACCGGGAAGAAAACTTCAGTCGGCAAACAGGGCACACCCCAGAGGCAGGGAGGTACGCCTAGAAGGGCGTGCGTTCACCGTGCTTTGCTCTCTGATGAGAGGCGAGGGCCTGTCCCCCTCTTTCTATACTTTCTCATATGTTCGTGGAAGTCGGCGCTCAATTGTGTCTGTGTGTTTTGTCCCGGGTGTCGGCGCTCAAGGCGTCGTTTGCTCCTCGACGCGCTCAATTTGCCTCCTCCTGAAATTTTTCAGGATACCCTGAACCCTGACATCCCTCGATGCTCCGGAAGACGCGCCACGCAGCTGCACAGCGAGCCCCTGCCCCCCCCAGGAGCACTTCGGCTCGTGGAGCGCGCTGCGCTGCGGGTCGACGAGGCCCCCAGCGACATCGGCGAGAGTCTGGCGGCTCGGCTTCTCCTGTGTTCCGAGGCGCGAGCGCCCAGGGGCCTCCCGGAGGCCCCCCCGTGCAGGCCCGGTGCCAGGCGTCCTGGGCCGTGGCGGCCTCGGGCAGCTCGGGATCCGGCCTGCGCGGGGCCCAGGAACGGAACGCGGGGCGCGATCACGCTCGCGCCGTCGCGCGCGGGTCTGCGCGACCGTCCCTCATGGAGATTGGCTTATGCCATACAGCTTCTGCTTCCATCGGACCGTCACTGTCGATCGGGCCGTGTGTTTTTCCGCTCGGACCGCTTGTCTTCGGCCGGCCCACCGGGCGCTGTCGCTCAGGCACCTGCCGCACTCGTGCCCCCACACAGCGGCCCAGGACTTTTGCTTCCCGCGTCGCGGCGACGGCCCCGGCGATACGCTATCCCCTGCGGGATTATAGCGTGCCGTTCCGCTCCGCGGGGCGGGAGGCTGGGAAAAACTCGGGGCCTCCTCCTCCTCCTCCTCCTCCTCCTCCTCCTCCTCCTGCTCCTCCTCCTCTCCTCCGCTGATCCCTGCGGGTCAGGTCATGGACACTGTGCGGCGTCGAAGCGCGGTGGGCCAGAGCCGGCGGAGCGACACGCGAAGCCAAGATTCCTGATCGTGCACTGTCCAGTGCGGGGTCTGCCTCCTGCGAGTGCAGCGGCGCCGCCGCGTCGAGAGATGAAGGCGCAGGGCGCCCGCAGGCGCTCGTCGTCGTCGTCCTCTTCCAGCTCAAAGTCGTTTTCCTTGACGTCCTCCTCCTCCTCCTCATCCTCCTCCTCTTGCCCCTCCCCCTGGGTCCTCCTGACCCCCTCCTCCATCCTTTCGCTTGTCCCCTGTCCCCTCGCGATGCAAATGCGATTAACGTGCAATGTCTGATTCGGCACCTGGGCTGTCGAATTGGAGAAGCTTGCGTACAATGGACCAGGAGGACAGAGGAGTATGATGTAAGTGATGACAGATGTGACGTGAGCGCGCCTAGCGTTTCCCCCTCCCCTATCTCCCTCCTCGTCTTCACCCTCTTCCCTTACCCCCTCTTCCTCCCTCCAGAAAACGTCCAAAACCTCCACAAGTCCCACGACACAAACCGAAAACCTCCGATGCCGTGCAAGTGCCCTCCTCCGCCACCGAATAAAACTGGTTCTCCTGGAGAAAGGTTCGTCCCCCGAGAAATCGGATGGTTCTCTGTCTCCGAGTGAGGCCCGTGCAAGTTTTCTACGGGAAAACAAGTTTCCGTTCCTCCTCCTGCTTTCCTCCTTTTCTCCTTCTCTTCCTCTTCTTTCTGAGAGCCTCATGCGCACTTCAACCTTCAAGACACAATCTTGACGCAGACTTAAAGCATAGAGACACAATCTGGAATCGCAAATAACCCTCACGGACACAATCCTGACACGCGCTGCAAACTTATAGACACAATATTAGTACACAGACACACAAACAGTTCCGCCCTGCTGTTGCTAGTACTGCTGCTGCTGCTCCCCCTCCTTCGACAACTGCTGCTGCTACTACGATTACGATTGCTACTACTACTACTACTACTA